TGAATACAAGGCTTGTAATATCTTATTAAACTGTGAAACAGTCCTGTTACTAAACCCAGCTAACAAGTAACATTCTCAGAACTTTGATTAACGTTCTCTTAAAGGGATACTCCACCAGTATTTTTATTAAACTATGTTATTCCCTTAACTAAGACGAGTTGATACATACCTCTCTCGTCTCAGTGCGTGCACTATATCCCTCTGTATTGCCGCAAAACTATGTTAGCACTTAGCTTAGCCCATGCATTAAATATGGGCCAAGCAGAGAAGCGACCAAACACTTCCACGTTTTCCCTATGTAAACACAGTTACTCGAGTAGTGTAACTTGACCTGGGCTGGTGACACAAAATAAACCGTTGCGCTTTTCTAAGCGTTTAAAATTGATGACTATATTGTATGGCGGAATACCATAACAAGTGCTTTTGAGCACTTCGACTTGGCGCAATAATATCTTCACTCGTGAAAAGATTACCGGCTCCCGCTTCCTCTCCCCCTCCCTCCAATAGCATCCAGCTGCTGACATTTCCGTCAATACTACCAACGTGACTTTTACTACCTGTGCTATTAGCAAACTGCAGATCATTTGCAATGGCCGACTTTGTAGATGATTATGACTTCTTTTAGAAGACCCAGAGCCATATCTGTTTGAACCCGAGTACACGGAGGAGGAATTAGCTCTTGTGGACCGTGAGAGGCAAGAAAGATATGATCCAGAACAGACCGGAGCTGGCGAAAGACCACGGGCTTTCTGTAAGTGATCTGAATATTGTTGGTGTAGCCTCATCCTTTAGGCGTGTTCCTGTGCAGGTATAGTCCTTCTTTGTGAAATGTTCGGAGCAAACACGCCACTTCTTCAGAGTCATCAATGGTGTTTTGGGATTCTTGTTCAAAGCAGCTAACCAAGCTCTCCGCTGTATGTGGTGTGTTGGAATTCGGTGAAAAATGACAGCACTATGTACATTCTCCTTATTTTCACAACCCTTTACGGTGCACGCTTTAACCATTATTGTACACAAACTAGCTTCCAACAACCTGTTACTTCGTCAACTCCGCTCGAACTACTACTACCGGCGCATGTCACGTTGTATTGACCCTTTGGGAGAGGAAGCGGGAGCCGGTAAGAGGACTTTTCACGAGTGAAGATATTATTGCGCCAAGTCGAAGTGCTCAAAAGCAATTGTTATGGTATTCCGCCATACAATATAGTCATCAATTTTAAACGCTTAGAAAAGCGCAACGGTTTATTTTGTGTCACCAGCCCAGGTCAAGTTACACTACTCGAGTAACTGTGTTTACATAGGGAAAACCTGGAAGTGTTTGGTCGCTTCTCTGCTTGGCCCATATTTAATGCATGGGCTAAGCTAAGTGCTAACATAGTTTTGCGGCAATACAGAGCGATATAGTGCACGCACTGAGACGAGAGAGGTATGTATCAACTCGTCTTAGTTAAGGGAATAACATAGTTTAATAATAAAAACTGGTGGAGTATCCCTTTAAAGTTATGAACAACTGTTCTTCCTGTAACATTAATGTTCAAAGTTATCAGGTCTTTAATAATGTTCTCAAAATAAGTTGTATACGTCATTCATGGAACGTTTTTTTCTTCTTAAACGTTCGAGTTGGACGTTCATCTAACATGTTTTAAATGTTTCAAGTTTCAAAATGTTCAGAGAACATTCAAAAGTAACATAATGTTTGTACAATTATTTGTTTGCACTTTTTTTTTTAAATGAACGTTCAAACATTCAGTAATAACGTTTCCATAACTTAATGGGAACGTTAGCAAAACGTTCTTAATACCAATATTTTTTGCTATCTGAGCACATTTGACTCATGAAATGTTTAAAACCTTTTTAAAATGCAATATCACGATCAGATCAGACCATTGCTATGTTTATTATTTTGACACTGATAATTCATATTGTTACGTCCAAGGACGTATTCATTGTGTATCTGTAACATACCGGGAGTGTTATGTGCATGTGTATGTTTTTCTCTTTTTTTCCTGTGTCCCTGATAGGATTAAGGGTTACCACCTGTACTCATTAACCCGTGAGTGTTGTTCGAGCACTGATTTGCGTGTCCGGAGGAGTCTAATAAAGCAGCAGAGAAAGCGCTGAGGAAGGAGAGAGGCATCGCGGCGTTTTGGGGTTGTTCTGCTCTCCAAACCCAGACAAGTGAGCACTGGTCGTGCTCTGTGGTGTGTGTGGTCGCAATGTGTGTCCAAACGTGACTCTTGTTTGTTATTTATTTTTTTATTTTTTTCCCTTTATGATCAGTTAAGAGTTTGTGGGTAATGTAGGGTGGAGGAGACCCAGAACTTTTTCTCCTGTTTAAAGGTTAGTTAGGGAGTGAGGGAAGTTATCTGTTGTTTTGTTAGTTTTTAGTTTTGTATAGGTAAGTTAATGTTATTCCCCTTTTAGGTAGAGGTTATTTTAGCTTTTCTTTTGAATTGGGCCCTCCTCCCGAGGTAGTACTTTTGTTTTTGGGATTTATTTGTAATGTGTTCCTTTATTGTTAATATCTTTTCTAGCTTAGGCTAGAGTGGAAAGAGAAATAAAAGGCACACCTGCCATTTCAAATCGAACTTGTTTGGTGATTTTGTGAATCTGGGTCTGGAGAGCTGGAGATCCTCAAAGTCTCTCCACTTTTTTTTGTTCGTCGTTCCCTTTTACCCCTGGAAAAAAAGGGAAGTCGTAACAATATGTATAATTAAAAATACAAATCTGTCCGAATAATACATAAAAATGATTACAGATGGACTGCACATCATATCAGCTCTTGACACAAACAGTCTTGGTCTCCCTCTGCTGGTCATCAGTCATAAATGAGCTCGAAGAATAAGTGATGCTGCAGTGCAAAAACTCTGGTGTTGTGGCAAGTTTTGTATATCCTTCATAAAATGCATCCTGTTAATTCCTCCTTTTCTAAATATTCGGCCAAAATATGTCTTCCAACTTTTCTTCTTAAATTCAACTCCCTAATTTCATCACTCAAACTTGTATAACAAAAATGCTTTAGATTTTTTAGGGTTTATACGAATTTATTTAAAGATGTGATGTTTAATTTGCTTTTCTTATATATGTGTATTTTTGTAGACTACCGGTATGCATGTTTTTCTTTCCTAAATGCACTTAAAAATGTTAGCCTTTTAAAGAATTTCAATTCTATGGTAAAATTCCATCAAAATTAATTGAATAACCCTTACATATTAGCTTGGTTAATCAGGCCAATAGAAGACCATTAACTCTTCATGTTTTTAAAAGCTTCGCTAACAAGTTTGGCTAAATTTACAACATTTGAAAACATTTTATTACTAATAGTGTTATTTTAGAAGTATTTATATAGGCTACAATTAATGTATTTAAATCATATTTTGAATTACATTTTAATTTTAATAATTTTAGTTTTCATTTTATTACTTTTTTAGTTAGTTTAAAACATTTCTAGATATATTTAATTAATTTTGATTTATTATTTTTTTTTTTGTTTCTGGTACTTCAACTTTGACTTGTTTTATTTTAGTTAGTTTCCAATGTAACTTTTCTAATTTCATAGCTTTTTTTAATCTAACATTCATATTTTATTTTATTTCAACTAATGATTTTTAATAGTTTTAGTTATCAATATGGGCAAGTTAGCTTTAAAAGCATAAGATCCCACCAATCCCGTTCCCTTCGTCTCCAAAGCCACGCCTCCAAAACACATGAACGCGCACAGCCAGAGCAGTCTGCAAAGCGTCACCCTCATGTCTCAAAGCACATAATAATATTGAATGTAAACAACTCACAGAGTGCTGACTTGTACCACCTGACTGCTGAAGATTCATTCAACGCATAAATCCGAGTCTGAGGACGTGAACAGCTCCGAGTAGGACGTCAAGAGTTGCCATCTCGTAATTACGGTTAAGACATGGCGTGAACGCAGCAAAAGCTCGTTGTTTTGGTTCAGGAGGAACTGTAAAAGCGACTGCTGTTTGTTTGTGGCGCTCGGTGACTGACTTCTGTCTAACTCTGCATGGCCGTACAGTACACGCTGATGACGTGATGTCTGCGCGACACGAACAGGTGCAAGGAAGTATGGAGAAATACAGAAATACATATGTTGACAGGCTGGTAGGACATTATGTTCGGACTGATAAATGCAATGATTGGATGAACATTGGTCCCGTAGCTCGGTTACAATATTTAGACATCTTCTATTATTGATTGCGAATTTAAACCAGTTTAACAAAAAGTGTTTATGAAAAAAATTGCCTGCTCTTTAATGAAAACAAAACATGGAAAATTAAAGCTAATGTTTTGTCTTGAATATTATTTTTTCTTCATATAAATACGGAAATATTTTCTTATTATTTTATGTTATAAAAAAATGTAAGCAATGCATTAATATGATTCGAATTGTGTGTCCACTTTACGCATATATTTCCCCCTTTTTTTAAAGATAAAATATTCCACAAGTCATAAGGTATGAAGACAGCATATAACATAGAAGCATTTTTATTAATCAAGTAATACAATTTTTATAGTGAATGATAAATGCTTATTGAAAAAGTATAAAATGATATACCCAACCGTCTTACTGTCAATACTGTTATTATTATTATTATTATTATTATGCCCCAACACATATTAAAATTAGTGCTGGGCAATGGTTAATCGCATCATCCAAAATAAAAATGGGTGTTAATATGTGTGTGTGTGTACCGTGTATAATTATTTTGTATATATAAATACACACACATGCATGTATATATTTAAGAAGTATTTGCATGTATATTTATACATAATTTATATAAATATAAATATTTTATATATAAATAATACATTTTAATTAATCTTAAATATATACATGCATGTGTTTGTATTTATACAAAAAAATTATACACACACATATATTATATTATGTAAGCACAATCTTTTATTTTGGATGTGATTAATTGTTGCGCAGCACTAATTAAAATGTATTAATTTAGCTTGGCTTGCAATTAATGAACACTTTACAATGTTCAACAATAACAACAAAAACAGACCTAACTAATCAATCATCTTTCTCTGTCTGTTCCTTCATGTTGTCTATAGGATGGCACAGAATGCAGACTGCTCTTCTTTCCTGTGGATGGTTGTAGGGTGAGACCAGCATCTCTTGCCGAGGCGTGTGTTGGAGTGACAGAGAGTTGTGAATCCCGTGGATTCTCCGGATCCGCTCCTCTGGTTTCGGTGCAGAAGTATCCGGTAAATCCCTGTCAGTGGGCTACGGCAGTCCACCACCACATTGTTCCTCAGGTGAGTTTCGGTGACGCCCAGCTCCTCCAGCGCGAGCTTGACCGACCGTTCGTCACTGGAAAGTGTTCGTGACGGGTCGGCCAGGTGCGCAGGAGTGGGAAAAGCAGGTGGGTACGCTTGTGGATACTCAATTCCCCTTAGCCAAGCACTGGACATGATCTGCGTCAGAGAAATGCGGTCTGCGGGAACCAGCCTCAGCGTTCCCTTAATAACACACTGGCAGACCACAGGGACGTAATCGGGAATGGCGTAGGAACCCCTGAGGATACTGAAGCGCAGTCTTCTCAGGCTGGAGCCTTTAAAGGGGAACGTGGCCGTCACCATGAAGTACAGCAGGATTCCCAGAGCCCAAATGTCCACCAGAGGTCCGATGTAACCCCTGTCCCGGAAGAGTTCAGGGGCCGCGTAGGGCGGAGAGCCGCAGAAGGTGGTGAGAATATCGGTGGGTTTGCATTCAGCGCTGAAACCAAAGTCGCCAACCTTGATGCAATATGTGGTGGTGTAGAAGATATTTTCAGCCTTCAGGTCGCGGTGGATGATGTTGTTGTCATGCTGAAGATGAAAAAAAAAAACTGCTGGATCAGTTATGCGGTTTTCTCATAGACTGCTTTTACATTTGGTCTCTCTAATATTAGTTATATCTTTGGATTCACATATTTTAATAAGAAATTAGGCACTGTACAGTAGTGCTGGACGGTGTTTTTTTTTGTGGGGGGTAAATACAATTTAAAAAAGCTCCAGGTCTGATGCCTATGTTAGCTTGTTTCCGCCAATGAATAAAAAATTAATTAATTTTATAAGTAATTGACTTTTTATGTCGCAATTCTGACCTTTTTTCTCAGGATTGTGTGACATAAACTTGCAATTTCTAGTTATAAAGTCACATATAGCCTTAATTCGCAATTGCCTGTTTTAAATTCTGAATTGTGAGAAAAAAAGTCAGAATTGCGAGAAAAAAATCAGAATTGCAAGACATAAACTCCCAATTGCAAGAAAAAAGTCAGAATTGCAAGATATAAACTTGCAATTGCGAGAAGTCAGAATTACGAGAAAAAACATCCGAATTGCAAGGTATAATCTTGTAATTGCGAGAAAAGTCATAATTGCGAGAAAAAAGTCATAATTGCGGAGAAAAGAGTCATAATTGCGGAGAAAAAAGTCATAATTGCAAAAGAAAAAGTCATAATTGTGGGGAAAAAGTCATAATTGCAAGGTATAAACTTGCAATTGCGAGAAAAAAGTCATAATTGCGAGAAAAAAGTCATATTTGCGGAGAAAAAGTCATAATTGCGGGGGAAAAAGTCATAATTGCGAAAAAAAAGTCATAATTGTGGGAACAAAGTAATTATTGCAAGATATAAACTCGCAATTAAAAAAAATGAAAAAAGTCATAATTGCGGGGAAAAAAGTCCAAATTGCGAGAAAAAAAGTTAGAATTGCGAGGTTTAAACATACAATTACAAGAAAAAAAGGCAGAATTGCGAGAAAAAAAGGCAGAATTGCGAGAAAAAAAGGCAGAATTGCGAGAGAAAAAAAGGCAGAATTACAAGATATAAACTTGCAATTACGAGAATTTTTTTCCCGCAATTACCTTTTAAATGTTTTTATTCCATGACAGAAATAACTGCTTGTTTGTAGGGCTGCACAATTATAGTAGAATACAGACAGCCCTAGACTGTGGCTGTGTGTATAGCTGTGTGTATAAAGTTAGTTCAAATAAATCAAGTTTAGCCTCTTGAACGTTTAATCGCACAATATAAAGGTTGAACACTGCGGCGGTCAGCAGCACATGTGCTCTTACCATGTGTTTCACCGCAGACAGTATCTGAGAGAAGACCAGTTTACTCTCCAGATCAGACAAGCGTCCTCTGGTGGCGATCCTGGAGAACAGTTCTCCTCCGCCTGCGTACTCCATCACCAGATGAAGCCTGCGAAACGTCTCCACCACCTCATACAGACGCACGATGTTGGGGTGCGAGAGTCTCTCCATGCTGAGGATCTCCGACGGGAACAGCCTCTGTGAGCGCTTGTCCAAACGCAGCTTATCCAGGATCTTAACAGCAACCCTTTCTGAGAGAGAGGAATAAAAGAGAGTATGGGGAGAAAATGCACCGCCAGTGTCATGTCATGTCAAGTCAAACGTATTTCTAGAGTGCTTTATAAAATACAGATTGTTTCAAAGCAGCTTTACACACTCTAAACAATGCTGGGTTGTCTTAACCCAAATTTGGGTCAAATATGGACAAACCCAAATGTTGGGTTAAAAATGTAATTTAACATTTTAACCCAACTTCAACTTTCACTTTCAACTGTACATTTTTTAATTACATTTTTAACCCAACATTTGGGTTTGTCCATATTTGACCCAAATTTGGGTTGAAACAACCCAGCATTTTTTTGAGTGCAGTAAAGGGCCTGGCACACTTGAGTCTGAAATTTTCATATGCGTTTTTTCGTATTCGTGATTCGGTGGCTCTGAATTCTCAAAACACCATTCAAACACCATTCAGACTGCTTGCTACGTATGCGAAAAACCCAGAAAATCGAACCCGATCCAATTTGTTTTATGACGGACGAAAGTTTCGCAAACAGAATTCAATTCTGCTGTAAAGCAGCTCTAAAAAGACAATAGTGTCATTGTTTCTAGCAGGGACGGACTGGGAATAAAAAACGGCCCTGGACTTTGACTAGGCCCGGCCCAAAGAAATCGGCGCGCGGAAACTCGACAACAATAACGCCTGCCGCCTGACATGATTGTCACATGACTTCAATTGTGGCTCATGATACTACCATCCAAATTATAGCTAACAGCATATTATACAATCTATTCCATGCTGTCTTAAAATGAATTTATTACTTAATAATCTTAATTATTTTATGCAGTAATTAATCTTAGCTACTGCACAAATAATAATACCACATCTAAATGAAAATAGGCTGGCCCTACACCATTACAAATGTAACTTCTGTATTAAAAGTCTTCAAAGTTTGTAAGCATTAACTGTAACGTTACCAACATTTTTAAAAGTAAAAGCACAACATATTTCTTAATATTAGCTACTGCATGTTGCATTTTACAGCTAAAATGTTGAAGTTTAGCTGTTTTAACTACTGTAATCATTAAAAATGTAGCAAGCTGAATATCACTTCCTAACATCATCCCTAGCAAGTAACTTGCAAATTAATTTCTGATTAATTCGGTTCGGGAGTAGTAAAGATAAAAGCCAGCCCGCACTGGTTGGGTCCTTGTATGCGCTTCATGAGGCACACACACACACTAGCACACACACACAAGGTCTCTAGCTCGCTCCACTCTGTAAATAACAATTTATGCCATGCGCGCTCTTACTCGCTCTAGATTCCGGGAGATTTTAACTAATTTGCGGGCATCAGGGAGCCGCTATCAATATGCAGGAGACTCCCGGAACTTCCGGGAGACTTGGTATGTCTGTGACTGCGTGTGTGGCGGGTGGTGGGCCGGCCCGCCGGCCGTCCTGGAGTACCGGCCGTTATGTGATTCTCCAGATCACACAGATGGCCAGTCCGCCCCTGGTTTCTAGAATGACATTTCTCCATTCCTAGAGCTTACGAACGAATGGGTTTTTTGGGGTTTGGACTGATGCGGCAGTGAACCCAAAGAGTCAGTCAGAGCTCCTCCTGTCCGATTTTAGGGAAAAATCAGGTCTATTGGAGACGTCAAATAGATTTTTTAGGCGCGTCGGAAGATCCCCACAGACACAGTACAATCCACATGGGATAATCTGCCAGTTTATCTCTTTTAATTATTTTTATAATCCACTGTACATCCGACTGACTGACACTGTATTCTTCCTTTTGATTCTAAACTGAACTCAAATGGCACTGAGAATTGGGTAAGAGAGAAACATAAACCACTTAATTGAGGAAATTGAGATATGAAACACGCTGATGGCCTGGGTCTGTGGTGGAGGAGTGAGTTTGATGTGATAAACTCGAGGTTCTGGACTGGATCGACTCCTAGAGCTTCCGAACAAGTGGGTTTTCTGGGGTTTGGCCTGATGGGGCAGTGACCCCAAGGTCAGTCCTAGAGCTCCCCTGGTCCGATTCTAGGGAAAAATCGGGTCCATTGGAGACGTCCAATGGAATTCTTAGGTGTGCCGAATAAACACCACAGACACGGTGTAGAGTAAACCTATATGCAAAATAAGATACACTGGTGTTTTGCCAGATGAGAAGTTTATTCTATGTACCATCGGTTCCCAACAGGGGGGTCGCGGCCCACAAGGGGGCCTCAGTGAGCTCTGTGGGGGGTCGCGTCATATTTTGAAAGGTTTGAGCAATGAGCATTAAATAAAAGTCCTTAACTTTTTTCTGTTCAAAATTTACAAAATGTATATAATGAGCGAGTTCATCATGAATCCATTTTTCAATCCGTGTTTTTGTCTTATCCTGAACCACTATGGTACACCTATAATAAGGGTTTACATTGGGACTATTTTACACTGGTTCGGATCGCTGCCGCTGCGGAGTAGCCCAGTCCCTGCGTGACTCGTCATTGACGTACACAGAGAGAAGTAGTTCCGGCTACAATGTTCTTCCGAAAAACGCATTATTCTGTTAATAAACGCAAGTTTATTAACGCTCGCTATAGCGCCAAACGTGTAAAAAATAAAGCCTCACAAATAACTTGCCAGTATTGAGGCCCCAGACAACAGTCATTTAGTAATAGCCTATATTCTTTCCTTTTTTTTTTTTACCTATACACCAGTGTGAATATTTTTGTTTTTGCATTTCAAATAGGGCCAATTTATAGGCTTCTCCTAGGCTTACGTTTTTAAATTACAAAGGGCCTACTGATGTTTTTGTTATTGTATTTTCAATATTATAGGCTATTATTTGTGCATAAACATACCGTTTGTTTGAAAAAAAAAACATATTTTGTCATCCTTGCTGCAAGAGCGATAATATCATTAAATTTGAAGGGGGGTCCTAAAATATTTTCTTGGGAAAAAGGTGGTCTCAGACAAAAAAAGGTTGGGAACCACTAGTTCATTTTACTCTAATTCATTTTTATAACTGTTTTAATTTCATTTGCCTTTATTTTGTGCTTATTTTCTATGCAAAGCACTTTGAATTGCCATAGTGTGATATTTTAATTCCTTTCTATATAAAGCATTTTGAATAACTGTTTTACTTTTCCTTGCTTTTATTTTGTGATTATTTGTATTCCTTTTTATGTAAAGCACTTTTGAATTGCCATAGTGTGTGAAATGTGCTATATTAATAAACTTGTAATCAGCTCAGAGTTCAATAACTGTAAAGTTCGTCAATTTTGGAATAAGTTCAATTCAGCTATAAAGCAGCGTCAATAAGGCAAAATTTTTAGTTTTGCATATGTAAGTTCATGTGTGCGTTTTTGCCGTTTTCAACACAGTCTTGATTTAATGACTGTAAAAATTTAAATAAACAAGTAAAAAGTAGTAATATATTTTCATTAAATCTTGAATACACACTTCAATCATTATTTTAATTATAATTATAATTTTAAAAATCTAACAATAAGGTTGTTCATTAAAATTCAATTCACTAAAAAAAACCTTTTGACCTCAATTGAAACATTTATTCTAAAAAATATTTTACTTTTAACACCTTAAAAAGTTAACTAATATAATATAATATACATTTTAATTAAGAAACTTTAAACTATCATCACAGAAGAGGTGTTTTTAATATTTTTACTTTTTAAATGGACTATATGTAAGAATTTTCATGTATTAACCACTTTTTATTGGCAATGTGTGAACAGCTTGTGTCGAAAATTAAAAAATTATCAATCTGTACTGTAATGTCAGTGTGTCATGCATAGAAAAGGGATTAATTCAAACTATAATCTCACATAGTCAGATCTATAGTCTCAAATATAGCCTACTTTATAATCAAACTATCTTAACAGTGTAATTTTAAGTACCTCATCTGTCACGTAACGGCCACCGGTATCGCTAATAACAAGAGTTTCTGAATTCTACATATAGACCCTTTAAATAAATGAATAGATCTGGGCATAAAAATGACATAATGAAATTATTTGACTGAGAGACCTGTTGATGTCTTTTGTTCCTGAACAGGTTCACATGTCGACACTTATTAAAAGACATTAAAGTGGGTGTCTTGGGGTTGATAGAAATGAACACATCCTGAAAGAGATTAATTATAATCTTCTGGATTAATTATAATCTCCGCCACACACACACTCACTCACACACTATTTTGTATGCATTTCGAATGCAGCAACATTTAGAGCTGAACAAATTCCTCTCAGAAAGCGTGCTCACCTTTGGTCAGGTGGTGAATGCCGAGTTTGACCTGGGAGAAGTTTCCGCTGCCTATTTCCCCACGCAGCTCGTAGAAGCCGACCCGTCTGCCGAAGGTCAGGTCACCCACGAGCTTCTCCTTGTGTCCGAGGTCATAGACGGCTCTCTCGAAGAGCGTCTGCTTCACGATGACCTCTGGACTCACAGATGCAGGGTTTCTGCCCAGTGCTTGAGCTCTTGTCTTCTTCTTCTTCTCCGTTATTTGTGCGACCTCCACCCAGGCCAGCTGGGGCACGAGCTCTTTGTGGTGAGACGGCATCGTCTGCTTGGCCACCTGCCCTGCACGGAGAACGAGATCTCTTTAAAGGGGTGGTTGATTATGATTTCACTTTTCTAACTTTAGTTAGTGTGTATTGTTGCTGTTTGAGCATAAACAACATCTGCAAAGTTACGACGCTCAAAGTTCAAAGCAAAGGGAGATATTTACTTTTAAAGAAATAGCTTTTTAAGGACTACAACAAACGGCTGGTAGGAACTACACGAGCTTCCTCCCGGGTTAGTGACATCACCAACCCTAAAATGTACATAAACCCCGCCCCCGGAACACGATTTATAGATTATCAAGACCGAATACGATTCTCTTGAGTCTCCATCTTTATCTGACTCCGGTTTGAACATAAAGGGCTAAATGTTTTTGAAATTTTCAGTGCATGTGTGTGTGAGGTAAAAGGACACGAGGTCTTGAAGCTCCGCCCCCTGTCCTGAGAGCAGCAGCTCATTTGCATTTAAAGGGACAGACACAAAAACGGAGCGTTTTTGCTCACACTCAAAAAGTGACAATTTTAACATGCTATATAAAAATATCTGTGGGGTATTTTGAGCTAAAACTTCACATACACACTCTGGGGACATCAGGGATTTATTTTACATCTTTTAAAAAGGGCATTACACCACCCCTTTAATATCGCAGGTGTTTCTTATGGAAATCAATGCAATTTTGCTGTGGTAGTCGCCTTTTTCTTTAGATGCTTCTCCTGAGAAAAAGATCCCAGTAATCTCACATTTCAGAAGACATCTCGACATCTCAAAATGTGCTTAGAAACGCCATAATATTTTAAGGGAGACTTTCCAGTTCTCATTTACGTATCAACTTTTAAAATTCCTTGTGAGAAATAAAAACAGACCCAGTTCTTGAGAGAACTATATAAGAAACGTTTGAGTTGGTAATGAGATCTGAGCATAGTTTGAGAGATTTTTGAGATCACTGTGGTCTTTTTCTCAAGAGAAACACCTGAGATGAAGAGGACTTCAGCAAACGTCTCCATTTAATCTCATGAGGTGAAAGAAATCCACATATCTAATGTGAGATTTTCTTGCCTATGTGGAGATCTCAATATTAACTCAAACATTTCTCATCAAATGAGCTATACACATTTATAGACACATTATACATGTCTTTTGCATGTATTTTATTTATACTAAAGAACGCCATGAAGTTTCCCAAGCTATAAAAGAGCAACCTGTGAGCAATAACATGTTCCTCTTTGTCCTAATAACCCAAATAAAACCATTCAAGATTTAAAATTGTTTTCAAACTTACACATAATCTGTCCTCTGTTATTATTCTCATTAAGAGAGGACGTTTAAGTATCATCTATATCTCAGATGTTTCTCCTTAAATTGCATATGAGAAATAAAAAGACAATAGTCGTCAGTTCTTTGGAGAACTAGATAAGAAATTAGTATTTTTAAGATCTCTTCTGAATATTTTTAGGGGTTCTTTTACTCGAGAGAAACATCTTAAATGAACGGGACTTCAGCAGACGTCTTCATTTAATCTCATAATTTATGTCTAGGAGAAAATATATCCAGATTTGGAGAGCCTTGGAGATCTCAATGTGACCTCAAACATTTCTCATCAAATGATCTGAGTTATACTATACACCTTTATATAGATGTAAACTGTCTTTTGCATGTCTTTTAATTTTTATTTCTACTAAGGAATCTTAAGAGAACATCTGAGAACAGCATAAAGTTTCCTGAGCTATGAAAGAGCAATAACACATTCCTCTTCATGCTAAAAACCCAAAAAAAAACATATTAAGGATTTAAAATTGTGTTTTCAAACTCACAGATAATCTGTGCTCTGCCATTATTTAATCAGTAGGGGAGAGGACATTTAAGTATCAACTTTCTCAAAATTTGTCCAAATTATCTGATTTATGCTATACAGATTTATATAGATGCACTTTTTATACTTCTGGATATTCTTTATACTACTTATATTTCTATTAAGGACTTTTAGGAGAACTTGCCAGAGCAACATCTGAGCAATAACATCAATAAAATCTGCAGATAAGACCATTCAGGATTTGAAATAGTTTCACAACTCACACAGAATCTGTGCTCTCCCATTTTTCCCGTTTTTGGGAGGTAAAGTGCCGCTCTTCTTATTTAAAAACATCCTCTACGTCTTCTGGTTTCTCCTCACAGTGTCAGTCCGAATGCGTCTTCAGTTTATCCAGATCTGTCCATATAAAGTTCCAGGTTGCCAATATTGTTTATCATATGTCTGCAGATCACCAGACTATAGTATTATTCATTAAAGTTCATCTCAATGAACTAGAATCTTCCATCGCTCTGCTGTTTGAGTCCTGACAGACATGGTCCACTCGCTCCGGTCACACAGAGTGCCGTTCCCTCTCCGTAATGCTGGATCATGTGTGTGTAATCCTGTCTCACACACTCACCTACAGACAGGTGACCCAGCCGTGGGATTACAGCGTCCAGCTGTCTGTCACTCGCTCCCAGAGCCGGACAGTAACGAAGTACATTTACTTGAGTACAGTACTTAAGTACAATTTTGAGGGATCTGTACTTTACTCGAGTATCATTTTTGGGGAGTACTCATGACTTTACTCAAGTGCATTTGAGAGGCAAATATTGTACTCTTTACTCCAATACATTTCTATCCATAACCGTGAGTACCCGAGTAAAAAAAAAAAAAAAAAAAATCTCGGAAACCCTCAATTTGTTGTTTCCCTCTCAAACGTGATTGGATTGTGCAGGCGCCACTGATTGGGACAGCCTATCAGCAATCACTTTCAGCTTTCCGCCAAAGTCAACTCCATGGTCAGATTTTATATTACACATTAATGTAAGCCAAGCATTTGGTTTGATGTTCTTGAGTATGTGGTGTGTTTAACACAGTCAGGTTCAAATGTGGCAGTGGCGTACCCACGAGGGATTTCTGATTTCTTTAAAAAAAAACTTTAGGAGGCAAAATATATTTTTACTGATTATGTGAATTACACTGCGCAAACCAAAGTAGGCTACTACCCAGCGAATGAAGAAGGGTTGGCGCTCAGTCTCCACAGTACATAAAATATTAATTTTGTTTTATTTTATTTTTTGGGTTTGCATTTATGAGGAAAAAACAATGTTATGGACGTGTTCTCCGTTACGGACATGAGCGCTCTGAAAGCGGCTTAAAAAATGCTTTAAAACTTTCACAGAGACATCAAACAGAAAATACAAAACCTTTCGTTTCAAAGTGAATTTCGTTTTGTATTAATTGTATCTTAATTTTAATCAATGTTTCTTCAACCAATTGCCTGGGTTTAATAAATAAGAAGTAAATAGCAGACGATAGATAAGAAATGGAGGCGCCGGCACGTGAACTGGATCTCGTCTCATAAATGAACCGAAACTCAGTGTATAAGGTAGCCTACTTGCCTCTCACAGACGTCTACTTTTAAACAGAAAAATTCAAAACGAAAGAAAACAGACTACAGACTGCTCTCTGCTTATGTAATCCGTATGAAATGTGCATTTCTCTCTGGCGCGTTCACAACTGAAGATCGTGAGTCAGCATCGTCAACTTCATCTAGCCGACACTGACAAAGAAAACACTTGTTTATTAACAAGTGTTTATTAATAAACAATTAAAATATCTCCTTGCTATATTTTACATATTCATAATCATTCCTTTTGCCGGTTCTTTGTGACAGCTTTTAGGTGGTTTATTGGCAGCGCCACCCTTACATGTGGTGTGTGTGTGTGTGTGTGTGTGTTGTCCCCGCATTTAAAGATGGGACCCCCCCAAAAATTTAATTAAATTAGATTTAGAATTAGATTTTACTTTCAATTCCTTTTACATTCTCCAAGGTATTAACATTAACATTTTTCATAACTCCATGTAGGACGTTTCTGTGCATAAATGTAAGCACTGTGGCAGTAGATTACTAATGCAATATTTAGAAAATCTACTCTTGTACTCTTGATACTCAAGTACTTTTAAAAACAAGTACTTTAGTACTTTTACTTAAGTAGACATCTGAATGTAGTACTTTTACTTGTACTTGAGTAAAATTTAGCAAGGGGTATCTGTACTTTTACTCAAGTAACAAAGCTCTGTACTCTGTCCGCCTCTGCTCGCTCCACGTGCAAGTGGAATCTAGGTTTGTGTGTCTGGCTCCATTTATTTTTAACTTGTTCTGCACCTTTAAACTGCTATGTGGTTGCCAAGATGTTCTGAGCGGTTGCTACAATATTGTTAGGTGGTTGCTAGGGCGTTGCTATGCAGTTGCTACAGTGTTACATGGTTGATAGAATGTTCTAAGTTGTTTATAGGTGGTTGCCATGGATTTCTGCACGGTTGCTAATGTTGTTCTGAGTGGTGGCTACCACTCAGTGGTTACTATGGCGTTTCTATGCAGTTAATAGTGTGTTCTAAGTGGTTGCTATGGTGTTCTATTATGTTTAGGGGTTTTATGGTGTTTGCTACAACATTTGATAGATGGTTGTTAGGGTGTTTCTATGCAGTTGATACTGTGTTCTAAGTGGTTGCTAGGGTTTCTTTGATGTTTATAGGTGTTTTTATGGTGTTTGCTACAACATTTATTAGGTGGTTGCTAGGGCGTTGCTATACAGTCGCTACAGTGTTACATGGTTGATAGAATGTTCTAAGTTGTTTATAGGTGGTTGCCATGGTTTTCTGCATGGTTTCTCATGTGTTCTGATTGGTGGCTATCACTTAGTGGTTGCTAGGGTGTTTCTATGCAGTTGATAGTGTGCTCTAAGTGGTTTCTAGGGTGTTCTATGATGTTTATAGGTGTTTTCATGGTGTTTGCTTCAACATTTGATAGATGGTTTTTAGAGCGTTTCTATGCAGTTGATACTGTGTTCTAAGTGGTTGCTATGGTGTTCTTAGCTGTTTCTAAGTGATTCTATGTTTTACTGCATGGGTCAAAAGTAAAAGATGTAAATATAAATGTATTAGTAATAGCACACTTCTTAACAAGGCTATGTCTGTTTCTCCCAGTACTCTCCTCACAAATGAATGACATGGACGAGAGGTTACTTGCATATAACTGCATAATGTGACCTAATTATAAGAGACTATTATATAGTTTCTAATAGGATGCGTCCTTCAGCACTTTCAGAGCGAAGGATAAACAAACAGCCACAATCCGGGAGCTGGACGGGTCTGTCTGTCTGAATGATGTCTGTCTGTCTGTCTGTCTGTATGATGTCTGTCTGTCTGTCTGAATGATGTCTGTCTGTCTGATGTCTGTCTGTCTGAATGTCTAATGTTTGTCTGTCTGAATGTCTACTTCTGTCTGATGTCTGTCTGTATGATGTCTGTCTTTCTGATTGTCTACCTGTCTGATTGAATGATGTCTATCTGTCTGAATTATATCTGTCTGTCTGATTGTCTACCTGTCTGTCTGTCTGTCTGTCTGTCTGATGATGTCTGTCTGTCACAGTGACTCACATCAGATCCGCTGCAGTTCTGCCGACAGAGAAGGACTCACGGCAGGTAGACATATTTCTTCTAATAATTCCTGATAAAACATAGTTTTACATTTTATTTATGGCCTTTTTTGCAATACATAGTAGGATATTAAAGGAGAACGGGATCG